CCCCAAAACCCCAAAACCCCAAAACCCCAAAACCCCACTCGGAAGTAAAGCAATTGACCAATTATTTACAAAGTAATGATGATCTAGGAATACCTACTTCGGTAATACTCACTTGGGCTCCGAATACTCATGTTCATCCCTGGTTGAAACCTGACTAGGGTGTCTGAAGGTTGGTTACGCTTAGATTCTAAACTCTTCCTTCTGAGGGGTGAGGTCTAGATTTGTGAGCAAGAAATTACCACTGTCTTTGAGTACCATTTTGAAACTCCTTTAGAAGCACTTTTCCCAAATTTAGCAGGTTTTTTGGTATAATTCTGTATGGTTTAAGGTTAATTATAATCAAAAAGTTAGCCTATAATAATCTTGAATAGAAATAGTGATATCTAAGAAATTTTATTTATAATTCCACTATTTCACCATTTCACCATAAGAAAACACTTTGATAATAGGTAGATATTTTTTAAGGAATAGTTTGTTGAAGACCAAAAGAGGATGAATAGCGTCTTAGCTCAACTCCTCCAACTAGTTAAACACTTATACAACCAAATTACCTTGCATCTGCTTTTATTGTTGGTATAAGTTGCTGTGTACTCATTAAAAATATTAGAGGGTTTCTGATAACTTGATTTAGAATAACTTGCTGAATAGTCAATTGTTCAAGAGGAATATGTAGAAGAAGGTAGGTCAGTATCAACTCTCCAAGGAGTGTCTTCAGAGACTCGTATATCCTTAAAATTCTTGATATTCAGTCCCTTTTCCTGTCAGTTTTTATGTAATTTCCCTTCCATTTTCTTATAGTTTTTTCCAAGTGTAAATTTTTGGTTGGAAATGTCTTCAAAGATTGCTTTATGATCAGTTTCAGTAGACTGGTTCTGCATCATGATGCTTGTATCAGTACCAACTTCAGCTTTCTGAGTAATGAAAGTATTAGCCGATGCTTCCCTATATTCAGGTTGCACCTGAACTTCTCAAGAAATATTAGACTGCTTTATGTCAGCAGAGCACGAGAAATCATGAGAGGTCGGAGATTCTCTTGAGCTCTGGGAGTCTCATTCCCTAACCTCACAGATCATGCTGTCCATATCACTAATGGAAGTGAAGACTCTCTTTTCTAGAAAGTCTATCAAAGTTTTAGTAAGCTTGAATTTCTTATCAGGCTTATTCCAAAAGTTTTGCTTTAGCATTGCTTTCTCAGCAAAAGAGTCTGTTTGAGGTATTTTGTCTTGAAGGCGTTTGATGTTGAAGTCATAATCTTCCATCCATTTTTCAACCTGAGTAGTAAATACTATGAATAAGACAGTAAACTTACACTCTGTAGAGGGATCTATGTTCTTTCTTACTGATCTACAAGGGGTTTCATCAACCTTCTGGATTGTTGAAGAGAGAACTGGCCGAAATAAGAATTTTAAAATAGTATCATTCTTTGTAAAATCGAGCACTTCTTCATTCTTTTGGAATTTTTGAATATAAGTAATTATTTGATCAATTTTTCTTGAGAAGAGGCTATTTCTACATTGTCTGATTTCTAAGTAAAATTGTTCGAAGATGCTATTAATCCGAGAATTCTTGCTATGTACATCTCCCCCTTCATTATCACATGCCTCCACGTCATCAGAGTCTGAGTCCAGAGGGTCTTCAGCGTATTTAATAATTTGTAAGATATGGAGTTTTAAAAGAAGACAAGAAGAGAGACCTTCTTTTGAATTGAGCAATGTAAATTTCTCAATAGCTTTCTCACAGTGTTTCAGGGCCTTAGCTGTATATCCCTCAGTCTTTGTGTCGAGTGTTGCCATTGTTAGAATTTTATACATGTTCGCCCTAGTAAGCTTATCATCTTGAAGACATTTCCTTCCATACGTATTGAGTACTGTGAAGCAATCCTTCAATCTGTTGAGTTTGAGTAAAAGAGTTGCAAAGAGAATCACCATCTGATCGTAAACCTTTATAGTATGGATGTTTTCACTCTGTTGGCCTATACTTAGTGAGAAAATAATTTACCAGTCTTAAAACTAGTTGTTAAATTAGAGCTTGACAATGACTTTAAATTTCTTGTTGCAGATTTTTCAAAATCCAAATTAATATAAGCTTGGAATCCGTCCACATTTATTCCTTCTTTCTCTAATTGATTCCTACAGATTATACTTGAAGAATACTTTTCAGAAGGAGCTTCCTGTCTGCTCTGAATTTTCTTAATTGGCATAATTTCTTCGATTTCAGCTTGCTTACTGAGATCTTGGTCTAAAGGCTCAATCTTGATAACAGGGTTAAAACTCCCCAAATCAATAGTTCTCATATTATGGGTTGGAGCTTTATTCTTTATACTTAATTGATCTTTAGCCTTTAAAAGATCTCAAGTATCTTCAGAGCGAAAATCTATTGATTTGGAATCACTTTGCTTTTCTTCCTCTTTGCTTGTGGATTTGCTCTCCTTGTCACTTTGTTTCTTTTCACTAAAGACAAAATCAGATTGCAACAATAAAACAAATATTCTTAGTATAATAAAATACCTGATACTTTGTCTATCCAGGTCATCCGAGTCATTTAAATCTTCGTCTTCAGAGGATGATTCTGCTCTGTCCAGGTCATCGCTCTCTTCTAAAATCTCACTTTCAGTTTTCTCGCTTGAAGCATTATTGGCTTTCCCTTTGAAGTCAAAAAGGAAACTTTTAGCATCAGAAACCGACTCTGTCTCTTCAATGTCCTGAATTGGGTCTAGCCTTAATAGTTCATTAATGAAATCACTTCCTTTGGAGTTATTCTTCTTATGGAAAATTTTAGAACTAGAGGATTCTCCCTTCTCACTAAAAGTTGGATTTTCGAAGAACCCAAGGTTTGTTGCTGACTAAAGAGTTATTAGGAGAGCATTACAGACATATTTCCTTCCTCAAGTTCATCGATGGATTCCATATTGCCACCAGGATTTTGGTAACCTGAGATCATGTTCATTCTTACAGGTTTGCTACGTTTCTTTTCTCCTTGTAGAGAGAGCCTGTCTGGGGCATCCTTATTGAGCAAAGTTAGTTCAGGTTGCTCTTCCTTGACGTCAAGAAGATCGTGGATTGATTCTAATTTTGGCTCTGTAGTGAATGTTAGAAGTATTACAGGATATCTTACCCTGTTTCTTTCCATATCCACCAGTAAAGCAAAGGTCAAACACATCCTTCTTTTCGGAAGGCTTAACTATTGTTTGAAAGGAATTAGCCTTCTTTTTGTAGCTAAAAGTTGGCTTCCCAAGCAAGGTTTGGTTCCTTATGATATTCATGTTTTTGTTGTTTCTTTCTTTCATGAAATGATTTGATTGGAGAGTGAAGCCCCCATCCAAAGTGGTATTTATAAATGATCCTCCAGTTGTGGCTATCTTCCTTGCTTCAAGCCTGGAAAGAGCTATCCACAAGTTTTGCTCGTAAAGCTCTATTAAACCTAATTTCTCTTCGCCTATGCATGATTTTGGGTATACTTACTTGCACTTAAAAGTTCCTTAAGAGTATTTACCATGAAACCTGCTACTTTTTCATCATAATCAAGTTTCTTAGAAGGAGCGATAGAATCCTCAATAAACTTAGCAAGAGAAGGATCTATACAATACAGTTTCGTTGTTGATTCTCCTTCGTATGAGGATCTTCTAAAGATCTTTCTAGTCTTAGTTCTGTAATCCTCATTGAATACTTCTTTTTCTGTTATAAGTGATCTATCTTTCAACAAATCGACCCATCTACTCCAGTCTTTACAGATAGCTTTAATGTGATGATCACTTAGCCCACTAGGACAAAGTGATAGATGGCGCAAGACCTGAATTATTTCTGGGCTTTCAGACTCTAGATACTCCAGTGACATCTGAATAGCTAGCATCATTGAAATATTTGAGTTTCCTTTTCTTCCTGATCTTGATTGAATTTCACTAATCTTCTTGTAAATATCCAACATTGACATGCCTAGAGTAATATTTAAAACTTACTATGTGCGTTCGAGGAGACTAGAAGACCTCACAGCGGGTTACCATTGAGCATCTTGAAGAACTCATGTTTATACACGTCATCAAGATCTGGATTATCTATTTTCAAAGTTTCCTTGCACATATCAATAAACTCCTTGTTTATCTGATTCTTCGACTTATTTGGAGGAATGATCAATTTATGCATATCCTTATCCTCAAGCCCGATGATGGGGTATGCAAGGATGTTTATTTCTGTCTCGATGTTGATAACTTTCTGAGATGTCAGTAATATCTTTGTGTTTTGCACCTTTTGAGTAATATCCTTCACTAATCTTCGGAAATTGTTCTCATTATGCCTCATGTAATCATCACAATTATCCAGAATTATCAATATTTCGTAGTTTTTAATTCAAGAAAAGCAAGAGTGGTACATGTGAGAAACTTCATCATTCATTTTTGATTCAAGAAACTTCTTGTCTTCCTCATTCACGAATGAATACATCATTGTCCGAAATAATTTGTCAACTAGACTCTCAAAGTCTTGGACATTCTTAAGTGGAATATACAAAACCCCTTGCTTGAAAAGGTCTCTGTCATAGACAAGATGGCAGAGTTCCTTAACAATAGCTGATTTTCCAATTCCGTACTCTCCTGTAAGCCAGACATGTTTAGACTGAATATTATCCATAATCTTGACCATATCTTTGGTCCTTCCAAAAATATTCTTGTTCTTATCAGGAAGAGCTTTTATCTTAATAGCATTGCTGAGGTTATTAGTCTCTCCGTCAATGAAGGAAAAACCAACATCTCATTTCTTCTTGCCGTGGTTGCACAGGCAGAGGAATTTGTATGCCTCAGATTTAAATTTATCCGAAACTGCTCTTTTCCCTGCTTCAAAAGCTTCTCAAATTTTATTCCAATTCCCAGTGAGCAGGTACTTATAAAAGGTTCTTGTGAATGTCAGTCAGGCATTGTCAAGGACTTCTCATTCTCTTTTGATACAGATGACATGGTTCACTCCTGCATTTCTGAATATTTTACCTACTTTTTCTGAGTGGCAGGATAGAACTACTACCAACTGCATTGCCTTCGACATACTTCTTTTTGTAGATTTTGTATGGAAGATTTCAGATATTTTTGACTCTGTCAAAAGTTCCCCTTTTAAACACTCTTTTTCCACGACCAAAGAATCTTGAGGAGCATTCATTTCACCTTTGACTAGACCATGACCTGAGAAATGAAGTATCATAGGTTTGGTAGATCAAACATCCCTCAAGTTTTGGATTGTCGCCAAAATTTTCTTATAGTTGAGGTTGCTGATTAAATTCCTTAACGAATTATCAATAACTTTGAACTCTTCAGAGTGATTCAGAATAGCGAGCTCATTCTCCTTATCTTTGAGCCCAATCTGAATTGTGAGTGGGGAGGCAAAGGCAAACACAAGGTCAACTCTGTTTGAATAGTTAAAACTGTTTTGGTGAGTAATGAATCCTTCTACAAAAGGATTTCTATTTTCTAGTTCTAAAAGTTTCTTTTTTGGGTCTGATCGAACTGAGACTGCCTTATTTCATAGACAACAAAGACATTCCTTTGGGGTAACTAGAGAGTCGTGATTCGAAATATTGATCGTCATCTTCATTTTGTCCTATGTTGATTTCATATCTGTTCCCTTCGTAATCCTCGATTATTTTCCCATCTCAATCGACAATACCAGCTTCTACATTCTGTTAGATTTTAATGTAAGTTATTTCAAAAAGTGAAGGACGGATTCTAAAAGCTAGACAAAATAAGAATCACCTCATAAGTTTGTGCAACCCAAACTTCATCCTTAAGACCTACCTAATATTTCAAGTAAATGCTGGACTGTTTCAATCGATTTAACATTCTCCATATCGCTAATAGAGTTGCTTAGCCTATAGAATCACTCTGTTAGTCTTATTGACACAAACTATGATAACTTATGCAATATTTTCACTTAAAATACCTCTGTTATAGCCCAGTAGACCATTTAGATATATTTTCTTAACTTACCCTGAATACATTTGTGAATAATTATATAACAATTATGAAAATTCAAAATAGATTAGTCTAAGAGGGGTTTTGGGGTTTTGGGGTTTTGGGG